CATCCGCCTACTGATTTGGATCCAATCAACCACAGCAGCTTCAGTCTGGGGACTCAGGACAGTATGAACACTGGCGTGGCCAGTGCTCGATGCTGCCTCGTCACCAGATAGGTACAATGAGAAAACACCACTTGCGTCATCTGAAGGGGATGGCAATCATCATCATCATCATCATACACGTTAGCTAGAGGTGGAGAACACCTCAGCTACTGCGCCGCAATACACAGAAAAAGGAGAGAAAAAAAGGATTCAACTGGGGCAAGCCGGCTGAGCTACCGGTAACGGATGGGCATCGTTCCGGTAAGCTGCCAGCCGGCTATTGTGCATCAGAAAAAAATTACTATGCAAAATTATATAAGGAAAAATAATGAGGTCGTGGTTGGAGGGGGAGGCTAAGAGGGATGGGGTGGGACAAAGAAACTCACAGCACGAACGCCACTGAGGTTGACTCCTAGCCATATCAGCAAGTGTGTCCAACCAAACGTGTTCATCGTCTTTCGGACCCCAACCAGGAAGCCAAAACGCTCCAACCGAGGCCAGCTCATAAGTGAGGGCCTTCATTCCTCTGGACCAAGTCATCGCTTGGCCACCCCTCCTCTTCTTCCATCCACACCCCCGGCGCGCAAACAACGCACGTCGCGGGAGTCGGTGGGCTGGCATGCGTAACACGTGGCCGAGCCATCGGAGCCTGGTGTGTGAAATGACGGTGCTGAGCAGTCCATTTCCTTTTTCTGTGCCGTAAACAAGGCGTCGGACACGCTCGTTGCTCACGCGGTGTTCCCACCAGATATAAGCTAAATTACGAAGGCACCGGTGGTCGAACGTAACTAGCCTCTTCAGGTCCGCTGCTTTAATCGGCCAGGTTTCACAACCGTACAGTAAGGTCGAACGTACTGCTGCATTGTACACTCTACCCTTCAGGACCAGAGTGATATCGCGCCGACGCCATAAGTGGCGAAGGTTAGCAAAAGCGCCCCGAGCTTTTGTTATACGATTCGTGATCTCATCTTCAATCCCACGGGCGCTGATACAATTTCCAAGGTAGTTGAATATTTGAACGATTTCTAGCTGATCCCCACCAACGGTCAGCGTAGCGGGCGGTCCAGACCAATCTTGGAGGAACGCGTTGCACTTCGAGGGTGCGAAGCAAAGCCCGAAGTGACGGACAGCTAGTGCTAATCTGTCCAGTGCCGCTTGACACATTTGTGAGCTGTCACAGATTAGGGCAATATCATCGGCATACTCAAATCAAGAAGTCGTTCTCCTGGGAGCAGATCCACACCTTCCAAGTCGTGTCCTGTGAACGCGCTTACCATGACTTCGTCAATGGCGAAGTTGAAGAGGAAAGGTGACAGCGGGCATCCTTGTCTCACACCGCTGGAGATAGTAAAGGGTGACGACAGCTTGCCGTAGGCCCTCACTCTGCCCGAGCTACGAGCATGTAATGCTCGGATAATATTCATATATTTCTCGGGCACACCTTTCCTGAGTATACAGTCCCAAAGTGCACGTCTATCCACCGAATTGAATGCACCTTTGATATCGAGGAACACAACGGTGGGCCGCCAATATATGTGGCTGTGCTCCAACAACTGACGCAGGGTAAAGATGTGGTCAATGCAACCACGATCTCGACGAAATCCGACTTGCTGTTCACGAATCTGGCTTTCACGAATGCCAGTCAGTCTGTGAAGGAAGACAGAGGCAAGCAATTTGGAGGCGATAGAGGTCATACTGATTCCTCGTTGACTGCCGCATTCAGATCGTGAGCCTCCTTTGAAAATTGGGACTAGGACGGAGCGGCTCCAATCGGTTGGGACAGTTTCCTGCTCCCACAGTTTGACTAGTAACTCGTGTTAATCATCCACAAGAGCAGGTCCCCCGAATTTGAAGAGGGCTGGAGGAAGATCATCTGGTCCCGCGGCTTTATTTAAGTTCAACACTTCGATCTCACGTTCGACTTCTGAGCGAGAGGGTGGATCCAAAGGGACAGCCCACGGAGCGGGGCGATCAGTGGCCGGCGAGAAATCTAACAAATCCGGTCGATTAAATTGTCTTTCAAAGTGCTCAGCCCAACGCTCCAAGCGTTTTGAAAGGTTGTGGATAGTCTGTCTACTCTCGTCACAAATTGTCTCACTAACACCAGGTCTTCTGTTGCTTGATTCCCGTAGCGGATGGAATAACTTACAATGGTTACCAAGGGCAGCAGCCATTTCCATCTCTGATGCACGATTAGACCACCAGGATCCGCGATCTCTCTTCAGGCTAGCACGGAGTTTTGCCCGGAGCTCTTTGCGAGTTTTATTGTGTTCGCTTCCTGCCGGAAAATGCCGGCGAGCATCGATAAGTTCCAGAGAGTGTGAAGAGACCCAATGTGAAGGGGATGGCAAAGTGAGCGCAGAGCTCGAGTCTTGCAGGCGGGTCTCGGATAAGCAGCAGAAATTGATCGAAGGCGTCTCTAATGTTTGGCCAAGTGCTGCCTGTTGACCGATTTGTAACAATACGCATACATTAAGGCACGCCAGTCTGAAGGAGGATCGAGAACTCCAAATGAAAGCCTATGTACTGGGGTGGACCGCTTGGTTAGACATGGGCTTGTCGACAGGGCAGGAGTGACGCTGCGCGTTTGCATGCGGGTGGAAACTAGAAGCTAGACTCTTATCAATCGCCTGGACAACCACATTTTCCATAAACTTCGAAGCTACGGAATCGGTGACCCTGTACTAGGTTGGATAGACAACTTCTCATTCAACATTACCTGAACGTCAGAGTCCGCAGATACATCTCAGACCCAATTGAAATCCAGTGTAGTGTGTAACAAGAAGCTTTACTGGACCCATGTCTGTCCCTAGTATCCATCAACAATCTTGACGACGTGCTCCAGTCAGGCTTCTTACTGTATTCAGACGATGTCAAGATCTGGAATAACCTCAAGACCGTTGGTGATCACCCCGCACTACAAAAAGAACTCGACAGGGTCTACACATGTTGCTCTGAAAATCGGCTTCAGTTTAACTCGGCGAAATGCAAAGTTCTAAGCATACACTATCAGTGTACTTATGAATATCGACTGGGAGAACAGCAGCTGCAGCAGGAAAGTGACCTCGGATAATTGCGCAAGCCGATCTTGGCTGCTCGAAACAGGCCAATAAAGCATAGAGTAGTGCCAGTGAGCGCCTTGGCCTCGTACGAAGTACGTTCGGGAAGTTCAAACCATCAATCTCTCTACATATGCTGAACACCTTCGTGATGACCCACGTGAAATGCACGATCCAGGCCTAGGGAAATTGGCACAAAAACGAGGCTACTGCGTTCGAAGTTCTACAACGTAACCAATGAAAATGGTTAGAGGACTCATTCACCACTTTTAATAACCTAGACTTTAAACCCTAGCCTTGTAAAACCGCGAATACCCCCGCCCGCAAGGAGACGTTACCATGGTGTACCAAATGTTGACTAACGTCTTTTGCGATCTGTTACAGGCCAGCAACAATACCGACCTGAGTGTCATCAGCTTAACACCTTTGTCTAGCTCACTAAGCTCCTAAGACTGGGCCACCTCTTTAGAATGCCATCGCATCCGACTCTCGTGACGTGCGTTGTTTGCGAGACGAGTATGTGGATGGATGAAGAGGAGCGGAGGCCAAGCGATGACTTGGGTAAGAGAAATGGCAGCTGTGACTTCGAAGTTGGTCTCGGCTGTTTGAGACCCGAAACATGACGAGTGCGTTTGGTTGGATATACGTGCTGACATGGTGAAGAGCCTAAATCAGTGGCATTTGTGTTATGAGTCCCTTTATTCCGTTCTAACCACAATCTCACTGTCGATCTATAGCAAAAAAGACCATAATATTAAATGTCTCCATCATATATTTTTATGTCTGCAACGATCGTCCGTCGAACGCGGACCTAGCGTGCTGGTTCAAAGTAACTGGGCTTGTTCCAAGTAGTCTGCTATAACTTCGAATGTTGGCAGCCAGCGGGTCTGCTTGCTACGACGGGCGTTCGCACAACTAGACACCACTATTTTCAGACATATGCTGAATACGTATGTTCGTCCCCATGTCGAATATGCGATCCAAACCTGGCAGCCATTGCTGAAGCACGACCTTACTGCACTGGACCAACCTCAACGTTGGGTTTCTAAATACATCATTGGAATGCCGCATCTTCTGTATGACCAAAGGCTGAAACCTTTGGGAGTATTCAGCGGGCGGTATCGCCGATTACGAGGCGACTTGATTATGGCATACTTGATTTTACACAATCCAAATCATGTGTGCCGCTCTTTACTGCAACTCAGCAGTAACACCAAACTTAGAGGCCACTCCTTGAAAATACCGTGTCGTAGAAATGTCTTTTTCATTCGTGTGCGTCAACCATGGAATGCTCTTCCCGAATCTATTGTTTCTGCACCCACCCCGGCCATATTTAAAAGTGCGTTAGATGAGGCACTGCGCCACTTACATTTTGCTACTTGACACTGTTCCCCATCTTACTACTGGGAAAAGTATTTGAATTTGTTTCACCTATTGAAACTATGGAAACACGGATTGCGTGGCTACTGCATTACATAGAACAACTCCATTCGTTTGACACTAGAACTACTAACTGCGTTATTTTCATTAAGGTTTTTCGAAGAGCCACCAGACCACCCAGCGGGGCTTGTAAAAGAATGCTACTTAACCCGTAAAAATCATTGTTCATTGTTGAGTACACATCGATCACCAAGTTCCAGTCCTTAGATAATTTTGATACCCACGGATAGACGACACTGTACATTGAGATTGATGACGGTGACATTAAAAACTTATCTAGATAAAACACTAAATCACAGTCACTATGCACATCATGACAACTTAAATCCATCTTTCTCGCGTGAGTTCTTCGTTACTTGCATCGCAGCAGGCGCAATATTCATGATCTTAGACATTGTGAGTCGATTAATCTTTGATTTAAACAAAGTCAGTTCACTTCATTACTTACATCTTGTTATCTAGTGCAATACAACGCCTGCCAGAAGCATATTTCAGATGGCACCACCAAGTGTGAGCCCCTGGATAACTTACAGCCCTCAGGACAGGAGAAGGCAAAGGCGAACACACTGGGAATAAGTGAACAGCTACCCGGAGTAGAAAACAGTAAGACAGCGACAAAACCTGGTCTAGAAGACGAGGCTACAGAAGACGCAAAATCACAATTTCCAGTGAGACCAGACAAGGACACACCGAGTGCAATGCGGCACTTAAATTCCACGTCTTCGACAAATTCTCTTTCCAAAAGACGCCGCAGAAAGCCCTACGATCACACAGGAATTCAAAGCGGACGAGTGGCAGAGTTGATAAGGGTGAGTAATTCATATGCCCAAACCTTGTTAACTGTTGAGATTATTAATCAGAACAGTTTACCCTCCGCTTTTCCGCATGTGTATCTAGCGTAAGTCCGGCTTGTACCACGAATCTAATGCAATTCAGCCCAAGATCTTTAGAATTTTCACAGGTCAAGTCCTAAACAAACTTCCAGTAGAGCAGTACCCGCACAGTGATAAATCCTAAATATGCCAATGAATCTCGTAAACTACTAGGGGAATAATAATAATAGCAAAATGGCCCAAGCTTTTCGTTTTCTTCCAGTCTTATTCGGAGACTACAGCTGCAATCTCAAGGTGTTTTAAAGTGCTGGGCAATCAATGGAAGTATATGTTAGAGACTAACAAAAAATGTGGGCTTGAGATTAAATTTTTGATAGAACTTCCTCACAACTGCACTCAATCAGACAGCCATTTGACTTTAGGAAAAGCACTGGACAGTGGTTTAATTCTTTCGGGAATCGTCGGCCGTGCTCACCTATCTGTTTCGTGTGTGTGGCTCGAGTCCACGATTCTATGCTTACGCGTCCGTAGTCTAGACCTCTGGGCCAGGATGTTGAGCAGCAAGCACCGTGACTAAGTAACCGACCGTGATAGAGCACAACTAATCGTTCTCCACAGCAATGCAGGTCTAAAATTGCAGAGAGCTGGGTTGGTTCCCGAGTCTTGGACTTCCCTCGCTGAACCGTCACCCTCTCATCTCACTAGAAGCTAGCTTGGACAGTTACAGATTTTCAGAAAATAGTAAAATGTGGAATTTGGATTAAATTTTCCATCGGAATTTCTCAATATAAAGCGCAGTATAAGCACAATGCAACAGGCAGTCACCAAGTCACGGCTGTTGACACTCATCGTCCTGACCCAGCGGCTTTAACCATGGATGCGTATGCATTGTGTCGCGGGGGGGGCAGACGGAAAGCGCACTGCTGACGCTTCACGAGGGGATGAACTGGTCACACAGTGCTTTCTAGGATGCACACTGGCTTCTGGGTAAATGCGACGGCAATAAGTCTCCATCGAAGCATAGTTGTCTATGCTTTCAGAAGGTTTGGGCATATGAAACTATAAAGTCAGGAATTGCTCTGAAAGTTGGGCACATCGGTACCCATTGGTGTTTGCTTCAAGCAGAAAACAGGCTTGTAATACAAATATTGTAACAGATCTCATACTCTTTGTGTATAACTAATTAATTCTAAAATTGCAGTGATTCTTTGTCGTTTCTAATCTACTCAAGTTTATGGAAGAATTGTCAAACAAGCGAAACGCGTCTCCAAACAGTATCGTTTCCGACAACGCAGAAACCCCAAGAAAGCACGCCAGACCAGTCTCAGCGAAATCGAGTGAAAAATTACAACCGGAAGCGAAGGGAGACCTATGTGTTTCGATGGTGAATAATAAAAGTTCTAGCAAAGCAAGTAGCGTAAACTCACAACTTGATCGAATTTCACAGGCCGCCGTGGAAGTCAATTATCTGACCGAACGACCGAAGCTAACTGCAGAGGAACCCAAGAAACACAGACGAGTAGCCGGACCTCAGCGGAACCGCAGTTTAATGTCCAAACATACCCCAAATCAAAACGTGGAGCGGAGATGGCTTGGTGGTAAAGCAACCAAAGAGACTCCCGTTCAAAGGGTGTGGCATCCTGTGCGCCCAACACCATCTTTACCGGCCCCAAAAGAGACAGCCTACAGGCCTACGCCATTCGTCGAAGCGGGTTATCTCCACCACACACAAGTGAAAGTGTCCTGTGCCAACTCGCAAACATGCAAGAGCGATGATGTGAAACCAGATTCTTCAGTCGCAGTGGATTCAGTCGAGGAGACTTCGCCAGCAGCGCCGGATGGATTAGAGGATGTTGTCATGAAGGATAAGTCCAATGTGACAGTGCTGGTGAGGAATAACTACGACGAAGAGAAAGTTGTTTCCATCCCGACGGCCTCCCACTTATCATCTCACAAACAGCCATCACACACAGACGAAATATCCTCGACGACAGACGCAAATGAAAGGATTGTCTCACAGAAAAGCCTATCCATCTCGAGTACGTTACCCAGACACGCACAATCCATTACCTTTATGGTAGATAAGGTTTTTTAAGAAGCCATAAAAAACCATGTAAACTGGCGATGAGGCTCACACATTAACACTAATAAGCACTAACTACTAAACTTATAGTTATCTTCATTAGATCCAAGTCGTTTGCCAAGAAATCTCAGTTAAGAGCACAAAGCTGCACTGCAGTGACACGCCCAGCATGTAGATGGTTAGATTATAATCCACCTAAAAGAAGCTAAAACCGTATCAAGTCACTGAAGATCGTCATGTGCGCTGAAGAAGGAATTTTTTGACCCATTCATCTACGCGGCTTACTACACCGTAGGTTTACCGATTTCGTTGAAGAAAATGGTGATCTAGGGGATTGAACACATTGGGAAAGTCTGGATAGATGATCTCGGTTCTAGTTAACAATCTGGTGTCTCAGTCCAAATGACATGCGCAAGCAGCAGCTTCGTAGTATATGACCGATGTTGACGAAGGTCGTGTTGCTTAGGCACCATAATCGATCACATGAACTTTGACAGCACTTGAAAGAGACTAACCGGGTGATAATGGGCGTTACAAACGGATAGAACCAAGGTTAGGTGGCCAACGAATGTCTTGGGCCTAAAGTATAGAGGCGATAACACCAAATTTTGCAGCGTTTGGGCGTTCTTGCGTCATCGGTTGCCGACACATGTAACCTAAACGCGCCTGGCAGAAAGCTGTTTCGCATATGACCCTGAATATCAGCAATGTTGTGAGGCTCTATTCCCGTATATATATATATATATATATATATATATATATATATATATATTGTTGTTGTTGTTGTTGTTGTTGTTGTTGTTGTTGTTGTTGTTGTTTGACATTCCAGGTGTGGCTGCGCTTGCTATGCATGTTGTCAAGGTGCCTACCTGTTTATTACCCATAACCTTGTCTGTACTGGCTGCAGGCGGCGGTTGCTGGTTGCTGGAGGTGACGGGGTGCACTGTCCTTGTGGTCGTGCTAGGCTCTCGAGGAGTGGTTCCATGCATCCAGTATGGAACGGACCACGGTACAGCCACCACCTTGGGTGCGCTTGAATCCTCAAATACAGCGTACTTGTTTTGCCTGTGAAGGACTTTGGGCCTGCTCTCTTGAAGAGACCTGGATCCTATCCACATGGTTCCTGGTTTTATTCCTTCGAATTATCACTGGATATTGGGTATGTGGATGGAGCTGTGGGGGGCGGGGTGCAGCGCATCCATTGTCCCACTGTAGGTACAGGCGTCCTGTAGTTGCCCCCATGGATGTTACACTGACGGGTAAATCGGGACAAAATGCTGTCAATCATATGTATAAGAAATGGCAGAATAGCATAAAATTTACATAAATATCACACGACGGAAAAGTGGGGGAAATGTTCAGCTGAAGTTACTGGAACAGAGTCTCACAACATTGCTGTTATTGAGTGCCTTATGCGAAACAGTTTCCTGCCAGGCATGGTTATGATCCTTGGATCCCCAACTGATGAGTCCAGAACGCCCAACTGCAGCGAAATGTGATGCTATCGCCTCCATACTTCAGGTCCAAGTCATTTGTTGGCCACTTAACTTCGGTTATAGTCGACTTCTGTGCGTGCAGAGAGCATGATTAGACGAACGATGAGTTGGCATGTGAATAATGCGCCTAAAGCACCGAAGCCCATGCAGTGAACGTATGCAGCTCAGCGGTTGGCAGAGTCCTGCTGATCCGAATATCCGTCCACCAGCGTCCTCATTACCAATGTGATGTCACCATATAGTATAGTAACCATGTTACAAATGCAGTGGTGATCAAATGCGGGCCACTTCTGAATATCTTTTGTGCGGGAAATGATAAGGGATGTGACAGAGCTATGTGGGTAGGGGCTGGCACACACACTAACAGGAATGCGTGAGAGTTGAAGTGACAACTATGGTGTCGTATTACAACCCGTCAACACTATCGTGGAACCAGTGGGCGACATACTGGCGGTTAAGACTGGAATGGAGCAAGACAGCGCAGTTCATGCAGCGGTGAACAAAGATCCAAAAACGAATTGTCTTGAGGATGTAAAACACCGAATTTGGACACTCATATTCGTGGTTTACCTTTTAGTAGTTACCAAAGGAGCATCGAACATGGTCGGTTTCCTCCCATGGCAATTTCGAGCAAGGGTAATGCTTTTAAAAGCGATTGTTCGGAGTCAGCTCATGGAAAAACGCGAAAGGATCGTTTGATCCTATCGAGAATGTTCAGGAGTATGCTTCTCTGCACGCAAACTGTGCTTCGGTGGAACTGGGGTAATGACGTTCACCGGTAAGTGGTTCCTTGCCGTTATCAAGTACTGCTGTATCTCTACTCCATAAGTATAAGGTTACAGACGAACAACGCCTAGCGTCTATGCATTAATACTGTTATCACTGTTATTGCACCGATTTCATCCACGGTAACTGGACGCATAATATGGTGATATCCAGCGCTGAGGGTGGAACTCATAGTTGTTGGACGATTATGCTTTGGTCAGTAAACCGGAACTCCGCGCGCAGCACTTGACACAGCGATTAGAAGCTCACTGTTGGATCTTGGAGCATCCACCGTATGTCAGGTTTATGACACTCCATCCCGATTGTGGCTGTTTGCGTTGAAACAAACCTCTGCCATTTAGGTTACTGGGACTGCCTGAACGCTGAACGCGAGCTCTGTCTTATTGACCAAGATCTAGGCTCTCTACCGCCAAGTTCTGCGCTCTACTCCCAAATCATGCTGTCTCTATTTGGAGAATCCGAATCTGGACGAAACGCATTTTATAGAGTGATTGGAGAGATCAATACCGAAACCATCCACTTCGAATACGGTCTCCCTGATAGAAATGGAAGTGGTTTGCTTCAAAGCAAATCGAGACCTGAATTGAGACTACGTGCCGTAATCAACGACATCACCGGGTACTATAAGAGTCAACAATGGATTCAAGTGCTATGCGGATCTGCGGCCGTCAACCATGGCTTAGTGGCATTAGCTTCTGGCGACCGGAAGTAATTGGGGCGGAATTTCGCATAGGTCCGAGGGAGGTGAAACACTGACGAGGGACAAAAGGTCGAAACAGCTGGTTGGTGCTTTGCCAGGGGTGTGTCAATTGGTAAGCTGAACTCTAGTGTACTTCTCATATCATCGAATCGACCTCAATGAAGTTTCACTTGACTGGGTTCGCCGGCAGCGAATTGCACACTAAGGAGAGCAGACATCAAGCATGTAAGACACACGATTCGGTTAGCACCAAGGAGAACCAGAGACGAAGGACGTCTGGAAACCTCGCTGGTATGGAACGTGGACCGCTGTTAGTGCTTGCGGGAAAACACGTGTTCGCAAAATAGCTTGGATCAGAATAGATAGCTACAGGTTAAAACAAGGAAAAGAATAAAAAAATAAACGGTACATTCTTCGACAGTACGAGACACAATCCAAATGCTTGATCAGATCAATATGCACAACCGGATGTCTTAAAATATTTCCTCGGGTTTTTGGGTGAGTGACAGATTGAATTCAGGATATGGATCGAGGATATTGTGAACAATAACACATACATACATAATTGAGGTTTTTTCGCAGCTAGCTTCCAAACCAGATAGTCGTACACATGCCCAGGTAAGCACTAGACTGCAGTTTCGGCCTGTTGGGCATCATCTCTAGTGCGCATCCATCGGATCCATCAGGATTCGAAGCCATGACCACCAGCTACTTGAACGGCCAGTCAGCTGCTTATACCACTGGGCGTCGGGGGACAGCTTCGGTCCGTCATGATCTACTAGCTAACTGCCATATAGTGCGTCTTATCCTCCACTGCCATGCAAGTTACGAACGTTGCAGAGGACAGGGTTGGCCCCGAAAGACACGACATCCACTAACAGTAGCTATGGTACGACATAGCAATTAGAAACTGTCAGGGCGGATATATTTTGATGTACTCATGATTAGGGGATTTTAATGTAATTAAGTGAGATTCTTCGCAGCCAGTTCCCAAATCAGATAGTCGTCCACAAGCCCGGAAAAGCACTAGACTGCAGTTTCAGCCTTTTGGGAGTCATCAGTAGTGCGCATCTATCGGATCCATTACGATTCGAACAGCAATTAATTATATCAAAATCCCCTACTCATGAGTAGATCAAAATACATAAATAGCCAAGTGTTCATCCATGGGCGTCTACAGCAGATCTGAATCCATGCGAGATGATCCCTCGACAGGTTTCCCCTGCACTCCCATACCCATCTAACTTCTGCAGCGTTGGCATAGTAACAAATAGGCTGTAGAATCTTAAGATTATATTTATGGATGTTACTTATGAGTAGAAGGATTTTGGCGTTATATGCTTGCATTGTGGGTGACCAAGAAGTCTCCACATCTTGTTCCGTTGCTTCGTAGAGTGTTTCTGGCAATCACGATGGATGTGTTGTCAGTAAGTACGACTGATCAATGGAAAGGAATTCGATACATCAGCGCTCCACCTGCACTCCTCGTCTGAGAGTAAATGACTACACCAAGTCACTACTGTTGTGAGTTTATACATGGTAAACAGCGCACTCCCCACTGAGGTAGAACGGAAGCAAGCAGATAAAAAGCGCCTCTCCACGGTTGAAAAATACTCTCTCAGATTGCATACTTCCTCTTCACAGTGCTGAGCCTAGCTCCCCTTTTCATTCACGCTTATGATGGCATTGCAATCTAAGTGAACCAATATATGATCATGCGGTTGAAATAGCATTCTTAAAGTTGTGTCTAATGAACCCAACGGAAGCAGAAAACCACATCACTGTAACCCCATTGCAGATATCCGCCAAAGGAAGAACCGCAGGATTTCATTGTATCAGCGATTCAGGGGACGTGTCTATATCCAAGGAAAAAACATTTTACCAAGTGAGCTATTTGCATTGGTCTCCAGCAAGAGAAAACGAAAGCAAGCAAACGGACAGAAATGTCTCGATCCCACAAGAAATGGTACGTTTAAATGGGTCACCACGTTCACTGTAAATGTAATTGTTTTTGCACTTTTTCAGAGCTCCTCAACCACAACAGCTCGGTTTTTGCATTCTTCTAAATATCGCGAGTGCAAACCGACAGTGTCGTCACAATGCAAACTGAGTCAACCGCGTCCAGCACACTTTGTGCTCGACCTCTATTTGACTGAGCCGCCTGGGCATGATTTTAAGACGAACTGTGAAAGAATCAAAGTATTTAGCGTTACCCATAACAGCAACAGTAGCGTGGAGATATTTCACCAGGATACCACAGAACTCTAATGGAAATAAATCTGTGATCTTGCTCCTCTCGTAAATTATACATATGGCCAAGTTAACGACTTGCGATATAGTCCCGACAGATCAACACCACTTTTATACGGCCTGCCCAGCAAAAAAGAAGCGCGTTAGGCCATGACACATATGAACTACTGACTAATGATTATAAATGCAAAGAGCGAAGGAGAAAATGACAGAGGGGCACAAGGGCTTGCATAGGTACATCTCCTAGGTGCTTGAGAAAAGGGGAATAAACGAGGACCTAATGCTGAGCCTTAACAAGTTGAAGTGATGTTAATGGAAAACCCGATGACACAGCCGTTTATCGCGTGCGGTTGGAATAACATCAAGCAGACAGTTCTATTGTATTTCTATGTAGGCCTTCGAGCAATTGGTATATTCTCAACTAGGTGAGGCATGACCCAGTTAAGTTGATCCAATCATAAGGTAGAAAGGAAATACAGTTTTATCTTAAGGATCCCAAACCTGGTTTGTAATTCGATGGTGCAGGTTCGTGTCCGCCTAGAAACCGGGTTACGCTCGCAGTATCCTTAACCAACGTGGGATTGGTGGTGGTTACGGGGCAGCCAAGCGTCGGTACTGCGTACCGACGTGCTGCTGATGCCTTAGCTTGCTGTCCGCTGCCGAACAGATTACGCTTTTCCGGAGATTCATCATTAGGCCAAATAGTTGAGATAAGAACGAGTGGATTGAGTAGCTAGAGAATGACGTTGTCAAAATGCACAAAATAGGTGCTGTCGTCTACGTATCGACCGTAATAAACCAAGCTGTTGATGGATTCGTTCAGCTGGTTGCACTCCAATTTGCTCATGAAGATGTCCGCGAGCAACGGTCCTAATGGTGAACCCATTGCCACCCCGTCTATTTGTCGATATAGCGTTCCATTAAACTGAAACTGAATGTTTCGTGTGCACATGAGTAGCAGTTGTCTCTGTCGGTCTAGTGGGATGCCAACATTGATGTTGCGCAGCAGGATGAACTCGCACAGATAATCTACGGTCTCCTCCAAGGGAACATTGGTAAAAAGAGACACCACATCTAAGGAGAACATCTGTCGCCCAGCTAGCTCAATTTGTCTCACTGAGTCAAGAAAATCGAAGGTATCTTTGAGACTGTATCTAGCTATGGCTTTCCTGACTGGTTCCAACCGTTTGACGAGCAACTTGGCAGTTGAATGGTACGGTGAGTTACACATATCCAGTATCGGCCTTAGTGGTAGCCCTTCCTTGTGTACTTTGGGCAGGCCATACAATCTTGGAATTACTGTCCCACTCGGTCTGGTGTATTCAAATATATCTGAGTCGATTACATTCTCCTGCTTTAAGCAACGCAGGAGTTTCGTTATGGATCTCTCGATTGCCTGTGTCTTGTCATTCTCATTATCCACTCTACGAAATTTTGTCCCGTCAGAAAGAACGGCATACATCTTACTGATGTAGTCCGATCTGTCCATCAGAACAATTCCGGCTCCTTTATCCGTCCTAGACAACAGTATCTTATCGTTTCGCTTGAGCTCTTTAAGGGCGTCTAGATGTTCCTGCTTCAATAGATGTTTGGTACATGGTTTATAAGTTAGACAGTTTCAGTGGTTTTCATGCAGGGAACAAGCTAAAACCGAACATGTCCCCTAGAATGCTCATGGCGAATATTGCACAATATAGAAGACTTGTCTGCAGTAGTATATTCACCATGATGGACTTACCGCAGTATATGTATTATAAATTGTAGATGCGCTGTATGTCCATAATGAAAGATGGTAACTTGGATTTTGGTAAAAATCTTGTCTTCTCCTGGTGAACACATACAGAAGGTGAAAAGGGTGAAAATAGTTCTAGAATCTGGCCGTAAGAGAAATATCGTTTGCATTGGGCCATGCGAAATCACTGAGGTGAGATATTGCAGCGAAATGAGTGCATAGTCAACCTGGGATTGGAACACTACCAGTGTGGAAGCAGACACAAATGATTCTGGCACGGCATTCCACACCTGGTAACCGCGTACCAGAAAGCAATTCCGACAGTATTCACAACGACTTTACTACTCTGCCAATTTGAGATCGTGACCTCTCAGAGTACTGTTTTGACTGAACACTTGCAGATGGCGGCAAATGTGGGTGGGGTCGCTCAGCGGTATAGTCCGCTGAAGACCCCGAGCACCAGTAGTCTTCTTTGATACGACAACTGATACAAACCTTTGATATTCTTGGTTGCCCAGGGTAGGATGTTTCCAAAGCGATGAGCTCTCTCCTCAGTCACATATGCCAGCCCTGTATCGCATATTCTACTGGTTGACCTATGTAGGAGGCGAGAAGCTGTGGAAAAAACTTACTGCTAGAATCATTCGGATGCACGTCTCAGAAGGCCCACGTGTTACATGCCCCTTCTTGACGCCGTTTCAGCCTGATTCGAACATCCAATGTCTGCGTCGACAAAATCCTCCAACTCATTTTCATCACAACTCGATTGAAGTTCCTGGTTTCCGAGTTTGTAGGAATTCACCAGCTGGTATCATAAGTGCAGTACACTACATTTGTCCACGTCGAATAGGTGCAGATTTTGTACAGACCACCAGTATGCCCTATCCAGATCGGCTTGAATTACTACGATAGCAGGTGGTGTTCTGATCTCCCTTCACAGCTTGATGTCAGCGGCATCAAGTAAGCAGCTGGAGTATATCAGGCATGTTGGCACGTTAGTATATGTTAAAAAACTTCGCTGTGGTACTCCGCATGCAACAGTTTAGATCAAATAGGAATTCACATACTCTTATCTCCAGGCGCTGGCATAGAAGAAATGTACTTATCCACCCTAGAAGAGGACACTGATACTAAAGGGTTGGAGTTCCGAGAGCAGAATACCATGTTTTAATCTCTTCAGTGCCTTCAAGAAGTCGAGAAAGACCACATCAACTCCTGCACTATTCTCTACTGCTTCAGTCCAGTGGGATCGTGCTAGCTGTAGATGTGTATTTCACAGTAGATTTTATTCTGGTGCAAGGTAGGTAAACTCTTCCAAATAGGCCGTTAGCTCATCGGTAATAATGACTTACATGACATCTGAAAGTACCGGTATTAGGATCACTGGACGGTTGTCGCCTGGATCGGAACGAGTACCTCACGCACCAGACTCCGATGAGTAGGCTACGTGGTGCATACGTTAGTCCACCGACTCTCGCGACGTGCGTTGTTTGCGTGCCTGAGGTGTGGATGGAAGAAGAGGAGAGGTGGCCAAGCGATGACTTGGTCAAGAGGAACGTTGGCACTTATTTCAAAGTTTGCCTCGGTTTGAGTCCCTCGGCTCCCTGGTTGGGGTCCGGAAGACGATGAACACGTTTGGCCTGATACACCTGTTGACATGGCTAAGAACCGACCTCAGTGGCCTTTGTGTTGTGAGTTTCTTGTTCCCTCCACCTCCCGCTTAGCCTCCTGCTTCACCCACGATTTCATTTCTTAGGTATAATGTAAAACTTTTTGTCACAATAGTCGGATGGTAGCTCACTGGAACGATGCCCATCCGGTACTGGTAGATCAGCTGACATGCCTCAGGTTCTTGGTGTTTCCTCTTTTTCTTTTATGTATTGCGGCTTTGTAGCTGAGGTGTTTTCCATCTCTAGCTAACGTGCATAATGAGGATGAATGACTACCTCACTTGTTAATTGGAGTAATCAGCTCATGTTTCCACGTGTGGGGTACGTATATTTCGTCAAAATAATGTTATACAGAGATAAATATGTTATTCTGGAATTCATCTAGGCATACCATAGGAAGCATTGTCACAATTTTACAGGCAGTTATGTCGCAACAGTCACGTTGCGTTGCACGCCATGAGAAGATGGCTGAAAGGTGTAGATGTTGCAGAAATAACAATAGTACTGGTGAGGAACAAAATCGTTGTCTGTGTGTATGTGTAGTGTAGAGATCAACAGTAAAAACGCATAAAGTAATAATGGTGATGGAATGTGCAGATAGGGTAGTATCTTGAAGTTGGCTGGATTGAAACGACTACCTCCCTTTGCATGGGAGTAATCATCCCGTGTTTCCACATGCTGGGCAAGTACATTTCTTCAAAACAGTATTGGAATAATCGAGCCAAACGCTCAGCTAAGCTCTCTCTTAATGCCACAAGGGACTTCGGGTGAATGGTATCCACTCCAGGAGAGCTGTGTTTACTCATACTCAACCGGTATTTCACCGTAATTTGTGCTATGAAAGAAACATGGATGAGTTTTGGGGTCGAGTGAACCGTTGCCATTGGGTACTGTGGCAAGTGTTTGCAGCGAAAAATTAAAGCATATTGTACGCATGGGGTATGCGCCTAATTCTTCGGCGTTTACGTCAATCCCTCCGTCATTTGAACAGGATGGATTCCCCGTTTTACCTTTCGTGCACTGTTTACCTGTTGGTACAACAGCTTGTGATTTGAAACCACACACGTTGCCAACTTCTGCTGGCATGCCATTTTATCTACGGGAACAAGTTGGGTACAGTGCTTATGTTGGGTAACATAGCCCATCCCGGTCTCGGTGCTCGGACAGAGCTTACAGTTATGCTTGGCCGAGTTTCGTACCGCTCAACGATTGTCTGTCTTGCTTAGTATGGACGAGCGCACATTTATCGAGCGGAAACCCTTATTTCTGTTGCTTCCTAACAAGTATTAAACTGACTGACGAAATGTGGCCTTG